AATCTTTTATAATCTTTTATTTTCAAAATAGGAATAATATAATACAGAGTAATATATGTTCCCTCTTCCTATTCTATCCCTTTATATAATCTCCAATAAGACTTGTTTTATTATTACAGTCATAGTTTTATTTATACTACATTACTACGTAATAAAACATAAAATAAGATAAACATAATACGGAGTATAAAAAAACTTAAAACAATAAAAATAAAAAACCTAAAAAATACTAAAAAACTGTAGACCTTTGACTTTGCATTTTCCACCTTCGATCGCCAGAAAAATGTAATAATATGTAAATGACGCCACATTTCTTTGAAAATGTCCGGAAAATGACATTTCACTCTTACAAAATATCAAAATTTGCTTTCAAAGTAGCTATCACGATGACATTTTTTTTCCAAGTTAGCATTTTTCTAGATGACGGACGGTGGTTTTGCTGGAAGGTGGCTGAGACCTTTATATATATATATATATATATATATATATATATATATATATTTACATTTTTAATTTTTTTCACCTTTTTTATGTTTAATTATAATAAAAAAATCTATTAAAGTACGACAAGGGAAAATGTAAGATATGAAGAGTTACCCCTATTTTAGGAATTGAAACTTCATAATCCTATTCACGCAATTTTGCTTTTACTTACTTCAACTACGTATTTAGGGAATTGCCCAATGTATGTTTTCATGAGTAACTTTTATAAATTTTATCAAAATTATCTACATTTTTTTTTGTTCCTCTTAAAATTATTATCATTTTTTAAAATAAAGCACTATATATTATTCCTCTCTTTTCTAGCTATACTTTAATCGCACAAGAAGTTCTCTTTATCTTTGTGTTTGGTTTAATGCGCCAAACACTATCGTAATATATAAATTATGCACATTAGCCTCGATTTAAAAAAGCATAAAATTCTTTGTATTATAATTAATCATGCTCATAACCGTCTCAAAAGATAAATTTAATTGTTAAATAAAAGAAAAATATTAAATTTCTAGTATAAATTAGATATTGTTAAATTTACTTGCACATTAATGTGCACAGTTTATATACCACAAGGGGTTTAGCACATTAAACCCCTCTCTTTTGAAAACAAATAACTTAATTATTATTGATGAAGATGGCAAGAAACATTACAATCATTAAGCTCAAAGCTACAATGGGATGAGACATAGAAACAGACAATTCAAATCGAAATCGCAGAATCGCTAATCCCGCAATGAAGTAGACTCTACCTGCAGATTGACTACCCCTGCTACGATCACAATAATTATCAAAAGAACTCTTAAACATCCCAGTTTGTCCCGCCACCGGTAAGGAGCCAACTGTAGAATTTGTTCCACTTTCACTAGCCACCGAAAAGAAAGCAATCCAAATAATCTCGTCATCCTGGAACGGCGGTGGTTCAGGAGGGGGGCGATCCGTTTCAATATCGGCGCAGAAGAAAATCATGTTTTTGATTGATGAAGAGATCAGTGCAAATCCCTTCTTAGCACACAAGAACGCCCAACCGAAAGTGGCGAGGAATATGGATCTTAGGATCTAACAGACGATATTTCACTACCGAAAATAATACCTCCAAACATTGTTGGGAAAGAAACGGGTGAATAAAACTGAAAACACTGATTACGAAAATGTTTTTCCATTAAACCCCTCTATGATGCTCAATTGTGTGTATATTTATAGATTGAAGAAGTTCATTTGTCTTTTGTTGTAATTAAACAAAGCACACGATGCAGTAAAATATTTTATACATAGGTGGATAAAAATAATCGGGGGACATAATAGTTTGCAAACGTAGCAAATACGCAATATAATAAAATGCATGGCGATCGAATTACTAATATGCCTCTAACCTTATGTCATACGTAGTAATTATTAGTTCAACTTTACGTTTTACTCCCTCCGTAACATTTATATCTTCCCACTTTCCTTTTTGGACGTAACATTTATATCTACTTCCCATTTCTAAATCTTCCCATCATACCCTCAATAATTTAAAAAATAATACAGTACACTATTACACCTACTTTTTTTGGATTTATCCTTCATTCCATCACATTATTTCACCATCTTCCCATCATACCCTCAATAAGTTATATCTCCTTTCACTATTCTTAATCTCACCCACTTTAGAAGTGGGAAGATATATATGATACGGAGGGAGTAAAATATATGGAGAATTATTGTTATCTTACTTGAGTTTTGATTATTCTTGCTAGTTGTTCGCCCCTGAAGTTAGCTATGAGGTCAATTAGCTAACATCAGTTTCCTTGGAGTGTTGGAAATACTTTTACATATAGCGGAAGCAATACAAGAACAAATCAAACGGATTGTTCAATAATTCCAGGACCTTCATCATGTTGAATAATAGAGTATAATAAGATTACTACCTGGATCCATAGCGAAGCCGCAGGAGGAATGGAACGAGGTAGATGGCGTCAGGATCTTCCTCAATTGAACCCGAGGCCTTAGTCTCTCTTCCGATGGGGAGAAGAGAAGTGAATTGATGGTGGTTCAATGTATTGGGGACCATAGCCTATTTATAGATTGTGTTGGTCTAGTTAGGGCTCCCATTATACCCTAACAAGCAACACGGGCCTCTGCCCATTTATTCGGCCCATACACTTTATCTTAATAGTCTCTTGGGTTTAGATAATATATTGACCACATAAATAAAACCCAATTATGATAAATAGCTAATACAATAATTATAATACTAGCCCATATTAATTATTGGAATAAAATATTCCAACAATCTCCCACTTGGGCTACATATTGCAATTATATTTCTTTAGGCGCGCCTTAGTATGCTATCTATTTTTAGACTTGAACTTAGTCAATCTGGTCCACCTCATGTATTAATAATGGAATTACTGTGGGAATTACTGCGGCTTTTGTCATATTGTTAATTCATGACTAAACCACAACAACCACCATAAAAATACAATCGATGACATAGATCTGTATGGGTGAGCAGCATGAAAATTACATGTGAAGTGGTCTCCATCATGCCTATTTTCAACTGGTCCAACTTTAGTCTGAGACCAACCTTAAGTCTCTTAAGTGTAAATTAAATATTACACTCAACTAGATACAAAAATTTAGCTATAAAGCTAATAAACTTTATTTCTGCAGAAACTTTAAATTTTGTATCAATAAATTATAAAAGAATAACTCCCACTCAACTAAACAACCTTTGGCAACCACACTCATAAGAGTTGAATGCTCATGAAAGACTTTAGGTGTTTATCCCTTAGTTAGTGGGTTTGAATCTCTTACTTTAGCTTATGCTATAAAATGACCAAACTCTCAAGCATATAAGGATTATCTTAGTAAAGACTCATAACTAACAATATCTGAATTATAAAAGAGACTTACTTTATTATTTCCGAAGGAACAATAGGAACCTTATTTGTCCAACATAGAAATACTAATTAAAATACCGCCTAGTAGACGGTGTAACAAAATGTCTCAATTAAAATTCAAATAAATAAAAAACAAGTCCTTATAAAATAATTCAAAAATTCTTCTAGCTTGAACTTCACTTTATTGTCATCAGTCATCACCAACATAAATATACTTTTCAGCATCATTTGGTGGATGACTCCACAGGCAAACTTGCATAGACATACTTATGTGAGTAGTAGTGCCAAAATCTACCCACATGTCTTTAGGTAACAAAACTCAATTAATTTTAGAACAAACAAAATTGAGAAGTTTACCCTTCTTCACACGCCAAGCGGCGTACTTAGAACACTCCTTTTTTTTGTGTCCAGATTTCTTGCAGAAAAAACAAGCAAATGCCTCATGATTGTGGGATCAGTCCAACCGGATGTGTCTAATGATTGTGAAGCGCACCATTCCTGAGGCGTTTCGAGGCTCAATTACGGAGGGTGAGAATGCAAAAAGGTTTCTAATGGAAATTGAGCGATTATTTGCCAAGAATGAAAAGGCTGAGACAAGTAGCCATTTGGCTAAACTTGTCTCTATGAGGTATTCTGGCAAAGGAAATATTCGTGAGTACATTATGGAGATGTCTAATCTCGCGTCAAAACTCAAGGAACTAAAGTTAGAGCTACCTCAGGATTTGCTCGTTCACTTGGTTTTGATCTCTCTTCCGGCCTACTTTGGGCAATTCATAGTGAGCTATAACACTCAAAAGGACAAATGGTCCCTTAATGATCTTATATCTCATTGTGTGAAAGAGGAAGAGAGGCTGCAGAGAGATAAGACAGAGAGTGCTCATTTTGCTTCAACATCTCACAATAAGAAGAGGAAGAAGCATGTGGTTGGTGCGGAAAATTCTTCAAAGAAGAAGGTGAAGAAACAAGGTGAGGCATTTGCTTGTTTTTTCTGCAAGAAATCTAGAACAAACAAAATTGAGAAGTTTACCCTTCTTCACACGCCAAGCGGCGTACTTAGAACACTCCTTTTTTGTGTGTCCAGATTTCTTGCAGAAAAAACAAGCAAATGCCTCACCTTGTTTCTTCACCTTCTTCTTTGAAGAATTTTCCGCACCAACCACATGCTTCTTCCTCTTCTTATTGTGAGATGTTGAAGCAAAATGAGCACTCTCTGTCTTATCTCTCTGCAGCCTCTCTTCCTCTTGCACACAATGAGATATAAGCTCATTAAGGGACCATTTGTCCTTTTGAGTGTTATAGCTCACTATGAATTGCCCAAAGTAGGCCGGAAGAGAGATCAAAACCAAGTGAATGAGCAAATCCTCAGGTAGCTCTAACTTTAGTTACTTGAGTTTTGACGCGAGATTAGACATCTCCATAATGTACTCACGAATATTTCCTTTGCCAGAATACCTCATAGAGACAAGTTTAGTCAAATGGCTACTTGTCTCAGCCTTTTCATTCTTGGCAAATAATCGCTCAATTTCCATTAGAAACCTTTTTGCATTCTCACCCTCCGTAATTGAGCCTCGAAACGCCTCAGAAATGGTGCGCTTCACAATCATTATACACATCCGGTTGGACCGATCCCACTTCTCAATTTTCGCCTCATTAGAGTTTTCTGGAGTGGAAGTGGGTCGCTCTGTCCTTAATGCCAGATCTAAATCCATGCATCCTAAAACAATTTCTACAGCCTCTTTCCAAGACTTGAAATTTGTTCCATTAAGCATCGGGATTCCATTGACTTGAGTGGTAAAATTAGGAGCATTGGCGGTATCAACTAAAATAAAAAAATAATATATTAGTATACGCTCCAAATTACAACCAATTTTGTGAAATTAAAAGACCCAAACAAGATACCTAGTGCAACATTAAACTCCAATCTTTGGATTGGTAGGATAATTGCAATTGATACTCTCAATGCATTAATCAAATATTGGTGATAAATCCTGTCAAATAATGGTTGCCTTTGGGCATTCCGCTATTCACATGGAATGAAAATTAAAATTAAATTCTCCCTTATAATCACCACATATTTATTATTGCAGGTATGTAAATAATTCGGTCAAATTATGTCTTCCTTTGGGCCGATCATAATTCACATGAATCATCACATACAAACATCTATGATAAAAATTAATTGAATTAGTCAATCCAACAGAGGTTACTTTGGCAACATGTGGTTTAAGTTCATTCAATTAAAAAAAAAATTCAGACAATTTCATTTTAAATGGGAGGTCTTAAAATTTTCACATACTTTATTCCCGAATAACTCTTTTAACGTTATAAGGTACTAAGGTATCAATTACCCCTTCTTGAAAGATATAAGTTGTCACACATGCGTTAATAATCCTAACGTACATAATACATATGTATACGTGTAATACTTAGAGTAAGTATAGGCTTACCATACTTATACGTAAACGATATATACTAGTATAGCATAAGGTACATATACCATAAGTATGCATATGCATGCATGTATGCAATATTTAAGGATTTAAGGTATATACATAATTATCATGGATTTATCCATAATAATAATAATTTGTCCTTTATACGGTACATATTATTAATATATGTATGTATTAATTCACTTAACATATATAATACTCACACTTGTGTGAAATTTAAAACGTATGCATTATTATCATACATATGTACTAGACGAAGTACCTGTGCGATGCACGGGGTGCATCTAGTATAGAATAACATTTTATTATAATGATACACGATGTGTATTCATGTCAAGTAAAACAATTGAGTTTATATATATGTTGTAGCTTTGTATACATAATAGTAATTGTAAGAAAATTTAATTTTTTTTCTTGAAAATTGCAAGTATGAAGTAAAATAAACGATAAGGTATAATAGTTACGGGTGGGCACGATCTAGGACGGTTCAATATTTTGCTGAACCCGTACCTGTATCGTGACTATTGAAACAGTCTGGTTCGTTTTGTTCTTAGACAGCAGTTAGGCCTAAACTCGTTCGGTACAATTCCATTTTCAAATGGGATGTTACAATGTCATACAACGCCGGCTCTGCCACCCAATACCAAACAATGACACTTTAATTTGAGATATGCAAAACATTAATCACAAAACATAAATTCATACAATGGTATTGGTTTTCATTTTATGAGAATTGGTCATGACGTGGTTTGGAACTGGTATGTATGGTCTAGTTCAGAACAAAAAAATTGACATTCGTTTCAAATCCCATTTTCACTTTAGTACCATACCGGTCCAGTTCAGTACCATGTCAATTCGATATTTTTTCTCACCCCTAGTAACAGTAAATTCTATATGATGATAATGGAATTAATGATGTTTTTGCTTGAAATAGAATTTTTTTAAATCTGGTTTTGTCTGATTTGTTTAAGTCTGATATGGTCTGAACTTGTCTGGTCTGAAAGATGAAATATCTGGTCTCTGTGTATGTATTTTATAATGGTCGATGTTTGGTCTGTTTGGTCTAATATGTGTAGGTCTGACTTGATATGATTTGATCTGGTGTGGTTTAGTCTAAGAAGGAAATAAATGCAGGTAAAAACATCATAATTATAGTATAATTATTGGGTCTCATAAAACTATAAAATAGAAGAGTCACAATTTTATACTTTACAAAACTTCTTTATAGATCAAATTATTAGTGATATTAATAGCATGACACTCGTCATCACATATAAGAATCTAAGTCCACTTTTTGAGGTGATAGTTGACATGGCAACGTTTATTGAACGTGCGGAAAAATGGGCTTTGGAAGATACATACTCACTTGATGTAGAGATTGTCCTTGACTTTTTTTATCGTCAAGGCAAATGAAATGACGATTACAAATTTCCTGCATTGAAATTTGAAATGAATTCTCATATCACATGGGATCAATGATGATCGTTGAACCAAGACCATTTGACCAATATTATTGCCGGATATAAATTTTGCCATGAAAATACATTTACCAATTGAGTAATAATCAGTCGAGTGTCATTACATAAGTCTGAGGACTGGTCAATGTTTCTCATTACATCATATGAACACCAACATTTAGCTCCAATTTATGATTCGGTAACCCTGACACATTGATGGTGTTAAAAAGCTTTTAAGTATGCACTTCATTGAATTAAATGTTGCCTTCTAGTGAGCATGTCTGTCAATATTCAAATATGTCCTCATTTCTCTAGTCATTAGTGAGATCATTTGTGAGTGTCAAAAGAGTTTTTTGCTGTTTTGAAAATTATGGAAATTAAATCAAACAAAACAGAACTCATTGAATCAGGGGGCAGAGCCAGGACACGGGACCGATACAAAGAATATTTTTTGAAAAAACTTTTATAACGAATTTTTTACATTCAAAATATAAACATTTTTTAAATTTGGGCTAGGCCAAGGACCGGGGTTGCCCCCCTAGCTAAGCCCCTAAATTGCATATATTATTATAACTTTACAAAAGCTAAATTGCCCTGCATTGAGTAAATTGTTATAACTTTACAAAAACTAAATTAATAAATGGACCCTTGAATATCCCTGTTTGGCAAATTTCCAAAATGATAACAAAATTTGCTCTTTATTGTACTCACTATTCAAATAATGCCACATGTAGTTCGCCAGATCTGCCCACAGTGTACATCTAAACTGGTTACCCCCGGAACAACACATGTAGTACAATTAATTTAATTAAATAAATTAGTCTAATACATGTGATTAAATAAATATATATATTACAAAAAACTATATATTAAATAAATCTAATTAATTTAATTAAATAAATCTATATATTACAAAAAAATTATTAAATTAACGTACCCCAAACCTTCCAATAGAATGTCTATCGACCCCTTTTTTTGGATTGTTGTTTGCAAACTTAGCTCTTTCAAATTATTTGTCTCAACAATATGAGCAATAACATCTGAAATAACATAAATTGCTACGTTAAACACGCATGTATGTTATGTTCTAAGAAAATAAATTTAAATAATGTCTTAGTGCGTGCGCGCACACATGAAAAACATACTACATATATACCAAACAACATCGTATCGAGAAAGCGGTCCAGCTCAACTGGTCGCTGATTCACTCTCTCTTATGGGAGGTCCCGGGTTCGAAACTCGATGGAGTGAGTTTCAGCCCAGTTTACTCCAGACTCCCCCAGACGCCCTCCCCCAAAAGCCCCTTGGAGTAAAAAGAACAAAAAAAACATAAAAAAAACAACATCGTATCATGTTCTCTGTCCAAAATGTCACTAAAGCTAGTCCGTTGGAAATGATGCATAGGCATGCTATCAAGTTGTAGCTTCCTGTATTTGATAACTCCCATGAAGTTAAGAAGTAACTTTTGAGTAGTGCATCTTTTTAATTTTGAGTCATTCATTGCAACTAATATTAGTGCTCAATTACATATGCTCGCATTTTTCATTTATTAGTTGTACGAATTTCGGGATCATTTTTTTTTGTGTGACATGCATTCAAGATTTCCTACACATTAACAAAGACAATATTTCAAACTTTAGGATCAAAAGTCTAAGTAGAGACTTTGAGCTTTGTGGCTAAATGATTTATTATTATTTTTTTTTGTAATTTTCTCGTTCTTTTTATTTTTTAACCACATGGAGTAAATTATAGATCAATTTTTTTTATATCTATGCTCTTAAACTTTTCTTTGATAATATGAAGTTACAAAAAATAGATCAAAGTATAATGCTCATCACAATTTGGGTTGCATGACAAAATCCGATTAAAATTGCTTTAATTAGGAATATATTTTGAGGTGACCATGACAAATTTGTTTAAATTACAAAAGGTATAAAATTAAAGAATCTATTTAAATTAAAGTAAGTTTAAATTACCTTCTATCCAGTGAAATCATGTCGAGTGCATTCATGTTTTCTATCTTTTCCTACTCCATAAATTGTCACTATTGTATAGCATACACGAAGCATCCATTTGATTCTTTTGGGTTGAATCTCATCGAAAGTTTTGGCAGGCCATATATGATTGACAAAAAACTATTATATTGGTCCTACCACAATAAAATTCTCGCACCAGATTTATAGAATGGGTTGAATAAATGTGTGATTATTTGTGTATCAAATTTTGTTAAGTAAATATATAGCATGTTACTTGAATTTCATATGTGGTGAAAATTTTTTAATGGAATTTTAACATTTTAATAGAAATTATATATGATACTTTCTTTTGGAGCAATATGGTATGTGTGTATTATTTTGAGCAATATGGTACGTGTGTTTTATTTATTCTAGAATATCTTAATTTGCTTTGTTTGCATGTGTCACTATATTTTGTTAGGTGTCCTAAACTAATCATATATTCATCATTATTATTATATAGCTTACCATTTTTGTAATAATGAGAACATTGCCAAAATAATACTACCTCCGGCTCTATTTCTTTGACATAGTTTGACTTGTCAAGATTTAAGGAAAAAAGTTATTGAGTAAATTTTATTGTAGAGTACATTGTTTGGCACTGTTTTAACACTGTTTGGCACTGTTTAAACCCTGTTTGACACTGTTTTGCATTGGTTTTGGTAAAGATTTGTTTACCAAATAAGTAAATAAGGAAGTGTGGCATTGATTTTGAAACATCCAAAAAATGAAAGTGTGTCAAACAAATAGAAACGGAGAGACTACTTATATCATGCAAATCTATCTATCCATTTTAAACAGCTTAGACTACATATTAAATAGCTTACCATTTTAGTAAGAACCAATCTTACCAAAGTTACGGACTGCAGATCGAGTAATAGCTAGATGGGGTTGCAATTTTGCAAAATAATTTCTCATTTTGCCCTTAAATTGGGCGGGAATTTTCCCTCTAATTATTGTAGCAACTCTCCTACTTTATATTATATAAAGACTTCACATACTACACATGTATGTAATAAATGCGTACCACTGCACACATACACACGTATTTGATATTTCAAAAGAAAATATTCTTTTGAAAATATTCTCTGTATATGTTTAGCATATATACCATGCGTGTTTCACACTTAACATACATATATATACACGTTTTAGAATAAAACTCCACATAAAATTGCATACGACGTATGTGATACTTTAAAATTTAAAGTATATAATTTTAACACATACACGTATGTTAAAAAAAAACTCTAAAAAAATGAAATGATCTTGATAATTGATTTTAAATATTAGCAATTCTATTCTAACACAACATCTAATTATATCTTTGGATATAAATTAGACTTGCAAGTGGTACTCTAAGTGTAATGATGAAATTTTGATAATAAAATCACGTCAAATACTAAGCCTTTCTTTGGACCGACTTAATATTCACATGAAAACTTCATAATTATCACAAATTTTATTATCACAAATTTCGGCCGTCAAATGCACTTAAATTTCAGCCAAATAATAATCTTCCTTTGGGCCGATTATTATCCGCATGAAATATGAAAGTACACAATCATCTTTATATATGAGATAATTAATTTCAACAAGAGAGCATTAAACAACCTAGATATATTAAAAATGCTAATATTAAACCAATATATAATTAAATATAAGGTACATATTTACTTATCATATATGCCGTATACTTGAAATACGTATGTGTACTTAACATATATAAACACACGTGTGATATTAAGATGTCCTTAAAACAAATATACACTTAGCATATATAGTATGCATACACGTTGGAAGTATACATATGTGCTGGCAATTGGCATGAATAGCAGAACATGTATATATTACATACGCATATATACGCATATACTGGCAATTGGCATGAATAGCAGAACATGTATATATTACATACGCATATATACGCATATATATACTCCGTATATAATACTTTAAAATAAAGTATACTCTTAACATATACACTTATGTAATAATTAAACTTAATATATGTTCTTAACATAGACTCGTATTAAAATTGAACCCAATGTTTTCAACCATGTTGAGTAAGCATGCATATGGCTAATAAAACCATAGCCTTATAGCTTTAAACTCACATTATACACATTTTAAGCCGTTAATCACAATGACCAATTGAAATAATAATAATAATCACATAAAAATAATCTATATTTCTGATGAGATAAATGTTGGCCGTAATTACATATGAGTATTTGATTACCGAAACTGATAATCACAAATATGTACTTAATTACCAAAGCCATATATCATACCGACAAAAATCACTAAAAGTTTGAAAGCAAATCAACGTGGTAAAACATTCACTAATTAGTAAGTGATCTGTCTGTCAGTTACATACCACTCATTACTTTTCATACCAAAGTAATTAATTAAGGTCATTCTCACAATAGAAGGTAAAAAATGACAACTTAATCACCTTCCAAAATAATATATGACTATAAATAAAAATTCGAACTTGATAGTTCACAATTACTAGTATATTGTAATACGGCAATGATTAATCACAATTATAAAAGGAATCTTTAATTCCCAAGGCACCAAATTGCCCATACTCCATATATAATACTCCGTACAAACAATACTAGTATAAAATAGCCAAAATTTGGAAAGTGAATAAAAAAAACAAATGTGATAACTAATAAACGTATGCACTAATATGCTCCGTAAGTGATTTAACGATCACAATATTAATATTCGAATCCCCTTTTCCAAAAAAAACATCAATCGTAAGATTGACATAAAAATTGAAAATTCTACAATAATTTTCTACTGAGTGCCGAATAAATCTCAAAAGAAAAAATAAATCAAGAATATTCAATTAATTCCATCACATATTGCAGATCATGGCCGATACGATTATAAAAAAATACAGATTCATATGAATTCTGATTCCATTGTAAATTTGTAATCGGCTAATCGTATATGGGATTGAATTGAAGTGCCCAAACAAACAATAAATAAAATCCAATCTGGCACATTCAAAAACGAAACTGATATGGTAGATTAAAATTATTCAGATGTTCCAATCGTAGATGATCAATACGATTGAGAAAACAAAACGAAACAGCCGATTAAGACTAAATCGGTTTTTGCCTTACGATTAACTAACTACCGATCTAATATGTGAATATATCAGGAACGAATTGCATAAACGCAAAATCGCATTACCCTTATTTCATTCAAATCGGCAGATCATATGACAAAAAAAAATCCATAAATTCAATCGTTTAAAATTGAAACAAGAAATATGAAAAACTCCAAATAGTTCTACATGAAGGAGGCTCTGATACCAATTATTGGAAATACTTTTACATATAGCGGAAGCAATACAAGAACAAATCAAACGGATTGTTCAATAATTCCAGGACCTTCATCATGTTGAATAATAGAGTATAATAAGATTACTACCTGGATCCATAGCGAAGCCGCAGGAGGAATGGAACGAGGTAGATGGCTTCTGGATCTTCCTCAATTGAACCCGAGGCCTTAGTCTCTCTTCATCAGATGGGGAGAAGAGAAGTGAATTGGTGGTGGTTCAATGTATTTGGGATCATAGCCTATTTATAAATTGTGTTGGTCTAGTTAGGGCTCCCATTATACCCTAACAAGCAACACGGGCCTCTGCCCATTTATTCGGCCCATACACTTTATCTTAATAGTCTCTTGGGTTTAGATAATATATTGACCACATAAATAAAACCCAATTATGATAAATAGCTAATACAATAATTATAATATTAGCCCATATTAATTATTGGAATAAAATATTCCAACATGGAGCACTCGTTTTGACGTACGGGGTCTCATATTTTAAAGCTCTACTTGTATTAGTAATACGAACTATACATTTCCCATAATTTCAATTTATCATTCATTAGTAAATGAATTATGTAGTACGGAGTATATCTTTAAAAAATATACTGTGTAAGAATTATATATATCTTTTTTACACATTTTTATATTTTTAATTTGACTTTATATACAAAAACATTCATTACTCCTCAAAAGAACTACTGAATATTTTTGAAGTGAATTCTAAAGAGGCGTTGATTAGTACACATAAAAATAAAGAGGCGTTTTCCTGAAGTCCTTTGGCATTTCTAGTTATTCCAAAAAAGGTATAATCTCCCACCCCAGGAGCCCCATACCCAGACCCGACAGAATGGTAGAGGAGTAAGTCACGGTGACTTAATCGGTCCAATGGTGGTAGACCTTATACTTGTAAGCACCAGAGGTCCCACCCAGCAAACATGAGCTGTAACCTCCACACGGCCGACACGGGTTTGGATTCTTGGTCATTGTTCCAAATTTCTTACCACAAAATCAATTGAGTTACCCGTGCGAATGGTAAAGATGCCCACATCTTCCTCAACATGAGTACTTATCCGACCCATGCATCTTTATTTTCTTAACTTTCTAGGTGCTTGTTTGGATTTAGTAAATGGAAAGACCGAAAGATCTATACTACTTTTCCATCCCAGAGAACTTCCTCTCGCTATCAAAACATAGTCTACCAACCACACACATAAACCTGATCTTGTAACGAATCATTTGGATTTACAAAATCTGTAAGGATCTTTCCTGATTACGCCCAAATAAAATCTTTGCGTGACTTTCGTCATGAAAACCATTTCTCATCAATATAGGATACATTATAGAAATACTTTAAAGATGGGTTCTTTCGAATAGAGTTTGGTTGTAATTCCATACTACTCCCTCCGTTCTTTAATAAAAGTCCTTCTTTCCTTTTTGGGACGTTTTTTTTTATTTGTCCTCCTTTCCATTTAAGGAAAGTTTTTACTTTAAATATACCTTTATACCCTCACTTTTATTACCATTACCCCTTTCTCTTTCCTACTTTTTCATTTACCCACTACTCATTACACCTTTTACACTACCCCTACTATTTTCCTCTTAAAAGTAGGGCTGGGAAAAAACTCCCGACTCCCGACTCCCGATCCCGATCCCGACAATCCCGATCCCGAAAATCCCGATCCCGACAATCCCGATCCCGACTAGTCAGGAAATTTTCCCGATCCCGACTAAGTCGGGACGGGACCGGGATTTTTTTTAAAAAAAAGTCGGGATCGGGAAAATCCCGACATCCCGACATTATATATATATATATAATTATATATATATACATGTATATAATTATATATGAATATATAAAAAATGAATATGTATCTAAATATTTGCACATCTTTTTTAATTACTTATTCCTTACATAGATTAATCTTTTACTACGAGTATCTTACAATATCAAACTTCTAAAACTATTCGGCATTTGTCCGAAAATGAATATTCGGTATCCTAACTAAGTAGAGATTATTCTTGATCCCAACAATCTAAATCACAACATACAATATTACAAATTTTGCGGTTCTGATGAACTCTTTAAAAAATTGTGATCGAGACTAAGATTTCTTTCTTTAGTAGATAATCATAATATGTATTTACATATTATATTCATTGGTCACAAAGTTTCTCAATGAGTCTACTTAGTTTTGAATTTTAAATAATATACATTACATATCCTTCTTTTAGTGTTTTTTATATATTGTTTGAAGTAAGTTTCACTAAGCCTTGATAGCTTATTCAAAAATTATACTATTAATTAATTGAAGTTACACATAAAAATTATTCTAGAAGTATATACTAGTGTGAGTTTGAGATGATAATTATTACAATAACTTTTATAAGTAGATGATGATAAATATGGTATAACAATAAACAAAGAATAATATTGAAACCATTAAATATCAAAGTTAGTGTTTAACTTAAGAAATTACATAATTTTATGTTTGATACTTCATTGTCGGGATTTAGCGGGATTAAGCGGGATTCCCGATCGGGATCCCGACTTAATCGGGATTTTAATGTCGGGATCCCGACTTAATCGGGACGGGATACGGGATCCTCTTTGAGTTTGAATCGGGATCGGGACGGGATCGGGATTTGGGCAATCGGGATCGGGATCATCCCGATCCCACCCCTACTTAAAACCCGTGCCAAAGGCTAAGAGGACAGATAATAAAGAACGGAGGGAGTAGTATTCTACCCGTGCGATGCACGAGAAAATATCACATAGAAAACTATATATCTCATATGAAAAAGTAAATATTTGACACACACAAGTAGTATATAATTTAAATGATGTTTCATATATAAATTAGGTCATCGTAATTTAATGAAATAGTATGGATTAAAAATATAAGTGAATACATGAGAATTTATAAATGTTTCTACAAATTTCAAAATACTTCATTAAATACAACATTGCTTGTCACATTGGTACTTTTCCCATCCTTGTCACATATAAGTATTTTCAAACCAGTGGGATTAGTAACACGTGAAAGAGCAACGTACAACTTCCATTAATTCGGTTTCAGAATTAGTTGATCAAATGAGCCGCCATTATTGATTGTGTAAGAATTTGAAAAATCACTAAACTTTTCAATACCAATCCATGAACTATATAATCTAGATTTTTGTCTTGAATTTCATTTTAATCAGCCATTTTAAGTGAGGTCTAGGAATTAAAAAAAAACACTAAACTTTATAAAGTAATAATTTCGAGAAATCCTAAAGTATTTTTTATATTTTAGAGCACAATGGTTCTTGCTGAGCATAATAAAAAGTATACACACGAATTATATATTCAAATATTTTAACCTGTAGTGACTTTTGATGCGGACATTGAGCATGATTTATTAGCTTGTCTTTATATTCAAATTTGCATGGAGAGTTGGTATATTAGCTTGTCTTTATATTAGCATGATTTATTAGCTCTAACCAAATAATGAGTCAATGAACTAATTAAAAAAACTAAAATCTTGTAATGAATCAAATTGCATTAAAAAATACAGCCATGATTTAAATTACATAACCATGGATACACATCCTCCTATCATATCATAATATGTAATTCCAAATACAATTTGACAAAACTTTAATATAAAAATAGTCTTGAAATCTCTTGACTGTATATTAATCCCCCATAATGATAATATACCTAAGATCCCGCACATGCAAAATTCACAATTAGATTCTGTTGAGGTTTGTTCCTTCAACCTTTGGACCCAACACGTAAGCCCAAAGATTTCGAGTGGAGTGAGTGTATGGATACCTAGCCCAACAGCTATCAGATGGATCAGGAAACAAAGGAAATAGCAGGCAATGTAAATAGGTATTATTAACTTCGTAATAACTCCCCTAAGTACAATCTACTTGCTAAAAAGGCACATCGGCCGATCGTCTTACAAGGCAGTTAGAAATGCTACCAGTAAGAGTGCTGAAGCGAGTATGCTAAGAATAGAAGGTTGCCCACCTTTTACAATGAAATAAATGCTTCTATTTATACCCACCAATGGGCAGGTGGCTGTGCTGACGTGGCAGCCTGTGGACCACTGGTGCCCCAACTACCAAATCTTCAGCATTAAATGCACTTCCCGCCAGAATCTAGGTTTCCCGCCTAATCAGTGGGGACGTTCGTCCGCCCGGGAAGTGAGTCGGATCGCTCCAAGTGACCTTCAAGAGATACCGGCTGTTCGTCTCCTGGCCTTGATAGATACTCACCATGTGGACTGGGTTTCCACCGGTAACTATAGGCTTGCCATAGGGCCGTTCGTCGTCATCCCTGGTGGCCCGTGGCCCTGCTCCTTGTCCCTGCATAGACGTTCTTCGGGATGAGTCGCTGGGCCTGAACTCCCAACCCCAGACGCTCGTCCATCCTCAAGGAACAGTGGCCTGTGGGCTGGCCTTGTGTTCTTCTCTGGACGTCCGTCTGGTAAGATGGGGTTAGTGGGGCGGACCTCGGCTTGGGCCCTTAACCCAACACAAGTCCCCCACTTCTGATGTTCTGAGCATGCGCAGGACATAAGGAAGTATGAATTCCCTCGAGGTAGACGTTCGTGTCTTGATACTTGTGTTTACTGCATCCGGTGGAAGTGTACGCTCGTGGTCATGGTGCTTGACAGCTGTCGACGGTTCAGGAAACGAGGTGACGGCTGCTGTAGCGGCGGTGCATTATCCCGAGGAAGTGTCATCATTACGCTTCCATCCCACGCACGGCGCGTGAGCCGGACCACGCTCCTTGCTACGTGTCAACCCCTCGTTGGCCCCTTAACCGGTGCTCCCCCTATAAATGCCGGGTTTTCCCCCTGAGTTAGGGTTCCCAATTTCTGCTCCCTCGCTTTAGAATTTCCGCTGTTCTTCGAGTTCTCTGCCTGGTTTCTGAGTTCGGTTAGTCTCTTCGTAAGGTAATTTCCCTTCTGCTTCTTTTTCTGTCTTGATTTCTCGCCGAAATGACTTCGATGGAGATCTCGTCAAGTTCCGATTCCGGTTCGTCGGGTTCCTTTTCGGGCTCCTCTTCTGACGATGTGAATGCGCGCTCCCCGGGAAAGGCCAGTGTTTCTGGGACCTCCGGTTCGGCCACGACGGTGGGGGTCATCCGGGCTGATGGTGAGCCGGATGACGCTTCCCAAGGTAGTGGAGGTGACGCCGGGGACGGAAGCGCCGATGGGGCAGT